AGGTGTACGTGGCTGGCGCCTTAGCCGGTTGAGCTATAGGCGCCGAGCCTTATTATTCTTTTAAAAAACAAAAAAACACCAAGAGCTAGTGAGGACAGAGAGAAATTTGTAAAATGGTGTAGCTGCTATGGAGAACAATATGGAGAGTGTTCAAAAAATTAAAAACAAAATTACCATATAACCCAGCAATTCTACTGCCGGGTACATGTACATACCCAAAAGAAATGAAAGTAAGGTCTTGAAGAGGTATTGGCACACCCGTGCATATTCACAGCAGCATTACTTACAACAACGAAAAGGTGGAAGCAACCCAGTGTCCATCAAAGGGTGAATGAATAAACAAATAGATACACAATGGAATATGATTCAGCCTTAAAAGGAAAGGAACTTTTGGGTAAAGAGTTTCAGTTGAAGAAGATAAAAAAGTTCTGGAAATGGATGGTGGTGGTGAATGCACAACATATGGCTATCATACTAATATCATAGAAATATACAAATAAAATGGTAAAAAATGTTAAAGTTTATATTCCATGTATTTCAGGACAATTTTTTAAGACAGGTTTGAGATATTCTGATTTCTTCATCTGCCTACCTAGAATAATGCAAAGGAAATAAAAATACAATGTCAGAAACTGTGTTAATATTATTTTAACCCCTATGCCCATATGTTTCACAGCCTTTCTAAATAAACATAAAACCGTCAAGGTAAATCTTTTACTACCACAGAGTAATACAATTTTTGACTTATGTAGAGAGCATTATATAGGTTAAGAAGAAATCTGCCTATGTGTGGTATTTTAAGCAGCATTCTGACATCCATCCGTTTCTCATTGTCTTCTTCATAAGCTGCCAGGCACTAAATTCTCCTGCCATATACACACACAATACAAAGTGTCCAGTGTTAGTGTCAGGCATTTAAGTTATGAGGTTGGGGGAGAAGAGGGAAAAATACTGCAACAATTAAAGAAGTATTCTTATTATCATCTTTCTAACACTCCATTTTCATTTTAGAAAGTAGAGAGCAAGACTTAGAAAAGATGACATAGAATAGGTATTTTCAAGAGCTGGAGTACTTTCTGGGGAAGGTAATATTCAAGAATGACAAACTCTCTTAAGTGATTACAAAGGAAACCACATATAAAACTAATCATTCCCTAAATATTAGCAATAATATTCAACTTACTAAAGTTATAATATCTTACAATTCAAAGTCTTCTCTGAAGTTTGTGTAGATATGAAAGATCATCTAGTAATAACAGTTAACATTATTTACTCTGGGCCAGGCACTGTTCTTACTTTGACAAGCTCATTGGGATTCACAGTAACTTTATGACCTAAGTACCAACCCCTCCTTCGAAGGTGAGGAAACAGAGGATTAGATGTGTGAGTAGGAAGATCACACTGTAGTGACTGGCATACTGAGGATTACAAGCTAAGTCTGTCAGATTCCAAAGCCTATGTTTTCTCCCCAACTCTTTTATTTTATGGATATGGAAATTGTTCTAAGGTCACACAGAGCTAGATCTCCTAACTCCTGTCCACCATAGGTTCCACGGTACCATACTGCCTTCCCGTATCTTTTTAAACAATATAATAATGATTGTTCAATTCAAAAGTTTTAATGCCAATAACTAAATCCTAGATGGTTTAAACCAATAATAGTACAGATACTTAAAATACACAGCTCAAAAAATTTTAATGTAATTAAAAATTATATTAATTATAAAAAAGAGAAATAAAAATTACCCAGTGGTAACTCTGTTTACCATACTAATGATAAGAACAAAGTTAATAAATGATACACAAACTGGCCTTCTAACATTCAATCATACTTCCCCAAAAATGTTACTGTGAGATAGATGCCAAGTTTCTCAAACTTAAAGCTGGGGAAGAACTTAGATAACAATGACTTATACTGACATTAATTTTTTTTAACGTCTCCAACAAATAAGATGATATTTTAACAACAGATTATATGAGGAAAGTGTTAAAGGTTTTAAGTGACTGGAGGCAAAAAAATATTTAAAAGTTTCCTAGAAGATGGCTGACTGCTAGCAACCCTCATCAGACGCTCTTGAACAGAGGAAGAAAAACTTGACCGAATCGGACTCTATGAAGCCAAAGACAGGGAGCTGAGCCAAGAAAGAAGTTTGACAAGCTGTAACTCCAAGGAAGAGCATTCAAGAAAACAAATTACAGGTACAAAGCCTATTGACTACAAGGGGGACCCTTCTCCCAAGCAGGAGGCCTGCCGCAGGCTATCTGTCAAGGAGCAGGGAACAAAAGACCTCTCATTTTACCTCCAGGAGAGAGCCACAAAACTCGAGGTCTCTCTCCAGGGAGGTCGCACTTATGAACCTAGACACCACCCTGCCAGGCATAAAACTGAACAGATATTTTCCCCTACAAGTCCGAACTCCCAGTTTACCCTTTCCCCCTCGTATGGCGGTCTGAAATTCTGCCCACTGCAGAGTCTTGTCCTGAGAGATCTGGGCATAGTGTGGACCGCCAATCATCAGGACAAACTCTGTGACTAATGGGGAAGAAAGAGGGTGCAGGAAGAAAGGGACACTCAGTGGAAGGAGGAGCAGTCCCCTGGTTATGACTATGCCAATGGTAGTGTTGACTTTCAGTTCAGGCTGTGTCTGGTGGGATGGGGTGAAGAACCACTGGCTCGGACAGCAGTGACAGCAAGAGGGTGGTTGCCCCGTGTGGACTGAGTTCGGCAGACAGGACTGGTCCCCAGCCCCTGCTGGGCCTGTGATCAGAGGCTTGATAGACAAGGACTGTGACTTGAGAACAAGGGCGTGGTCTCCTAATTCCAACAGAACCCTGGAGCAGTGGCTTACTGTATGTAAACCAAAACCTGAGGGCTAGGGTGTGCTCCACTGCCTCCAGCAGGGCTGGTGAGCAGAGGTTTACCAGGTGAGCACTGAGACCTGCAGGCGGAGTGTGGTGCCCTGACTTTA